ATTTTCGTCAACACAAAATCGTCAAAGTGGAGAAAGGAAACAGTGAGAACCCCGATGGAAATGCTCAAACTTCGCATCGTGAAGATTCTATGAACAGCATTTTACTAGCAAAAACCACACGATACTTCCTCAAGACGAATAATTCCTAACGCTTTGAAAAGTTGTATACACTATCGAGACACGTAGGCTAACTACGTCCATGTCGCATACCCTTGCGGTTGTCGTTTCAAGTCATATTTCACTCGTACCCTATTCGTGATTTAGGTCTGTATAATATACAAGACCATATATATGTATAATATATCAATACCTATATATATGTACAATATATAAGTACTACATAAATATACAATGTATATTCGGGACACATCCAACGACACTGATCTTCCCCAGTCGGCTCATTATACAGCTTAGTATCGACGAGTTGGAAAATGATGAGGAAATACCATCCCAGATCCTTCCAAAGAATAAGTGTGATAAGACAGGACGATCAGAACAGCTGATAAGTGTGGGAGAGTATGAACGTAGTCAACTACATGTGTTGGCTACAATATGAAAATTCTGAGGAAAATACGGGGAATTCTCGGTGGTTTCTGAAAACTTCAGCCATAATTTTCTTTGTAAATTCTGAGGAGATTTCACAAAAATCTTGTTGGTTTCGGTACACTTCTTCCAAAATTCGTTATGAATATTCCGACGAAATTTCGGGAAAATCTCGTTGTTTTCTGAACACTTATACCAAACTTCGTATGTAAACTCTTTAAGTAGTGCCAAAACTCCTGAGCTCAGCTCTTCAAGAAAGCGAATGTATATATTCCTCCAACCAGGGATGTTGCTAGGCGTAAAACCTTACCCTTGGGCGTATGTGTTGACGACTTGTAATACTCAAAGCGCCATAGTTCTAGACAGTAATTGTACATCAGCAGTGACAGGTTACTCAATCAAGCGTACAGTTTACAACACCAAACAACACCTTTGCCTCCAACACTGCCGCTAACACTATACATTCATTAGCACGAATCACCTTTGTAAACATGAGCAAGCCATACTATCACTTTGAATATGAATCGACTCAGAGGCATACAACCACATGTTCTCTTGAATCCTTCCACATAGTAGTACCGTATACACTACATGTGTGCCAGAGACAGTGAACGGACCTGTACATCTATATAGGACCGCAATCACCCAGTAGCGAGTTACCATAACAGCAGCAAATCACAGTTGGGGTGACGTCACATCATATGACGATACATCAAAGTGGAATTCTCGAGTCGCTTCGCTCCGCTACTTTCAGTTAGCGCACGCCCAGTGCAGCGCAAAACGGAGAGTCTCTGTCGGACTCCGACAAAGACCAATTTCCACTCCGCTGTGTTTGAATATACGTGTAAGGTGAGGTGCTTAGAGTGTTAAGCTAGATCATAAGGCTCGCGTAACGTGTGACCAATGTGAACCACGTTGGAATTCGATGAACTCAGAACTCTTATCGCTGTTGGGCAGTCGAGCAAAAATGGTACTTAATAAGACTTTAGATAATGAGTTGTGATAGACGTGAATACTACGTTCCCGTCACAAAAGCTTCTTCGCCATTCTTTCAACGATGAGCGCTTACACCCGCCACCCAGTAGACAAGGTCGAACGACAATCTCATTCCCTTGATTGGCGCGATGTCACTTTTGAAGTCACCCGAAAGAGCCTCTTGGGCAAGAAGCTCGGTGTTAAGCGTATCCTCAACAACGTGAGCGGCTCAGCTGCTCCTGGTGAAGTCGTTGCCATCATGGGCCCCTCCGGCTCTGGTAAAACGTCGCTATTGGACATTCTGGCTGACCGTGTCTCGTCTGGCAAAATCACCGGCGACATTTTGCTCAACAAGATTAGTCGTACACCGATCTCCTTTCGGGCGGTATCTGCGTACGTTGCTCAAGAAGACAGTCTGATGGGGTCCTTCACCGTGCTCGAGACACTTCGCCAAAGTGCTCGTCTGGCTCTACCCAAACAAGTCAGCCACGACGAACGAGAACGCCGTGTTCAACATGTCGTTGACATTATGGGTCTGCGTTCTTGTGAGAATACTCTCATTGGGGACGTTTTCCGCAAGGGCATTTCTGGTGGCCAAAAGCGCCGTGTAAGCGCCGCGATTGAGCTCCTAAAATCACCGTCTGTTCTACTCCTAGATGAGCCCACCTCTGGTCTGGACTCAGCGTCCGCCTACAACATTATGGAATATCTCAAGAACCTCGCTTCTGAGGACAAGTGCACAATCGTCGTGACTATTCATCAGCCTAGTAGCGATATCTGGCTCTCTCTTAGCAAGGTGTGCTTCCTCGTACAAGGCAACATTGTCTACTTTGGTCCGCCAGATAAGGTGCCGGAGTACTTCGCTGCTGCTGGCTATCCCGTACCCACCTTTACGAATCCCGCTGAGCATGTCATGAATCTAGTCAACACGGATTTCCCTGGTCATGGCGACGTCCCAGGCCTCGTCGACCGCTATAACACCGTGGCCAACCAAGGAGGAGCACCACATACGTCGGATGATCTTGACAGCGTTCCTCGCTTGAATGACAGTGAGATTTGGGCAACTGTCCGACCGAGCAAACTACAGCAATTCATCACCCTCCTGGTGAGGAACTTCCAGAATAACGTGAGAAACCCAGGAATCTACTGGGTTCGTCTGGTCATGTATGTTATTCTCTCCTTTATGATCGGCACTATGTACATTCGGACAAACGACTCGCTCACTCAGAGAGACCAAGTCCCGATGCTCTTCTATGTGCAGGCATTCCTGGTATTCATGGCTGTAGCCGTGCTGCCATTCTTCGATGAGATACGTTCAGTGTTTGCTCGAGAGCGAGCTAATTCCAACGTTAACGTGGCGGTGTTCGTCATTGCCAACTTCCTCGCTTGCCTTCCGGGTATCGCTCTTATCGCAGTGGTCTCGTCTGGCATGGTTGTTGGCTTGGCTGGACTCAACGCTTTTGGCTGGTTTTGCCTCAACTTGTTCCTCTCGATGGTTGTCTCGGAATCGCTCATGATGCTGCTGGGTGCTGCCACTCCTCATTACATCATTGGTATCGCTTTAGGCGCCGGTATCTATGGTATGTTTATGTTGGTGTGTGGCTTCATGGTCCCGGCGGACCGCATACCCGCAGGCTGGAAGTGGGTTCACCACTTGGCATTCCACACGTACGCGTTTGCTGCATTCATGTTCGCTGAGTTCGATGATGCTCCACCACTTGGGAACCTCATTTTAACCGAGTATAACCTGGAAGACACTGACCTCGGTTTGAATATGGTCATACTCGCCATATGGACAGCGGTGCTCCAACTGTTCTTCTTTGCCGCCCTTTACTACTTGCATACAGGTCGAAGATGAGGGAAGGTATTCCACATATTGGGTGAAATCTTGTATACGATGAAAGTTCAATTTGAAACTCGTGGAAAGTTTGCATGTTATGGTCTGGATGATAGTGAGTGAGGTAATTGTTGTATGTCTTCCCAGAGTCGAGTTGTCCTAGTAGATAGGATGGGGGTTGATCGGATATGGCCCAGTTGTCATCTGGTGTAAGCGAAATCGCTAGGAACGTTCTTGTGATAACCTTTGCTTATCGGAAAGGAGTACCATAGCCCTACGAGCGTTGAAGACTTCTGATACAGTTGTTGTGGGATGGGGTGGCCTCTGTCATTAATATGAGGCTAAGATTTCATATGCTGACGCTTCTATGCTCGTCACGCGACCGTACTGGTTTATGGCTCGTACGCTCGCTGAAGAAAACGTATGATGGTTGCATCTTCTCTGTAGATGAAACGGAGGACACGTAGGTCGGAGTGTGGATATAGTCAGTTCAACGGTCTTCTTTTCATAGTTGGCGAACTCGATAAGATGAGCGTTTGATTCATCGGCGTTTCTGAGCTATGTTGGCTCTTCAGCCTATTCCGGTCCAGGTCACATGAGAATTTCTTGCAGTGGCTTCCAGAGAAGGAACTAATCATCATTCAGTGGGATGATGTCTGAGAGTTGCGTTCAGCATAAAGCAAAGGCCGGTGAAACTCGTACAGTAACCATTCAAAATATCTATTTGGCGAATGGGGCCGCTATGCCATTCCATGGTCTAAATCCACTACGACATCCGGATCAAATATATACTCGGCAAATGGGGCCGCTATGCCATTCCGTGGCATAGAGCCAATACAGTGAGCGTTACGAATATCTACTCGGCGACTGGGGCCGCTATGCCATTCCATGTTCTGAAGCCATAACGGTGAGCGTCAGGAATATCCACTCGGCGACTGGGGCCGCTATGCCATTCCGTAACCTAGAGCCAATACGGTAAGCGTTACGTATATCTACTCGGCGACTGGGGCCGCTATGCCATTCCGTGGCCTACAGCCAATACGGTAAGCGATACGTATATCTACTCGGCGACTGGGGCCGCTATGCCATTCCGTGGCCTACAGCCAATACGGTAAGCGATACGTATATCTACTCGGCGACTGGGGCCGCTATGCCATTCCGTGGCCTACAGCCAATACGGTAAGCGATACGTATATCTACTCGGCGACTGGGGCCGCTATGCCATTCCGTGGCCTAGAGCCAATACGGTAAGCGATACGTATATCTACTCGGCGACTGGGGCCGCTATACCATTCCGTGGCCTAGAGCCAATACGGTAGGTTCTGGTAGGACATTTATGCAAGCGCATGCGCAACGACCAAATGTGATATCCTTATCGATGAAATTGAAATTCGTAATAATCAAGTGAATCGAGCAAATCTTATGCTCTTGTACAAGGTTCAGCATCGACTGAATGTTCTTACTAGCAGTGTGGTACTCTCGAAAGTGCAAATTTATGCCACATCATGAATTCTTGAGTGATATAGAATCCGATAAAACGAAGCAGGATGAATCACACTTGCAAATTATCCAAGTCACATTCTATTAATCCTTTTTTCAAGTGATTAACGCAACACAATCGGTTACAGCGGAAAAGTGAGCTACACTTACCCTGCATTATATGAAGAAACCGTATACCGATGATGAAAATATATGAGCTGAACAAGGTACTCAAAGCGGCTAGCTAAGCAGCCTATGAGGAATGCACTCAGAGCGTCTCTACAGTCAAAAACTCCCAGCCGGTGCATAGCTCATAGCTATAGCAATGAAAGACAAGGCAGTGGCCCTGGAAGACCATCAGTGCTGCTGCGCTACTCAGCAGGATCGAACTTGTGTTTCTTCAGAGCCTGGAAAGTAGAATCCAAACTCATCGGTTGCTTCATTTGGGCCTTGTTGACGATCCATGTAGGAACCGAACCACCAACATCTACTTGATTATAGAACGATACAATCTTCTCTCCATCGACATCATGGATAACATATCCAGCATTGTCGATGAAGCCTCTGCAATGAGTATCCAAAAACTTATGCTCTGGGTAGTCGTCCCTGTTCACCGAACGTGTCGCGATAACACCAACTGTTGGGGACACCATCTCGATGAGGACAGCATAAACGAAGTCGCGGCCAGCAACACCCATTTGCTTCTTATACGCGGCCCAGGTCAAAGTAAGGGTCCGGTCAGATGTTTCAGAGTAAGTCTCTAAAACTCTACCATCCTGGAACTGGCTATCCCACGTCTCTTTGGACGCCAGGTCGTTGATAAACTGCATGATCTGTTTGATGGTATACTCCTTACCAAAGCTCATCTTGCCACATACGACCTGTCGCTCAGTCACTGTCTGGGGCCGCACAAACAAGTCCACATTGCCGGAGCGACCTTGTGACTTGAAGGTCGGATCCTTCTCAAAGGCAAGCAACGCTTTCTGGGCAGTCATACCGGCATCAAGAGCCATCTTAGCTTGAGGAGAAGTTATCTCATTAGGAGGCTGGGACTCGGTCGTCGCCGCTACTTCCTTAACAGACTCTTCAGGCTTCTCAGGAACTGGCAGGCTTTGAGGCTTCTCGACCATTGGGACCTTGGAAGAAACCAATGCAACGATATCACGATAGGAACTCGCATTCGTGACAACTTACCTCGTCTTTGGCCGACGGCACTGCTACAGGTACTGGTTTGAACTTGTAGTGCTTGATGGCTGCGAAGGCCGGTACCAAGCTCATGGGTTGCTTCATCGTGGCCTTATTTACTATCCATGTCGGGACGGATCCTCGAACATCGACTTGGTTATAGAAAGACACTATCAAGTCACCACTCGGAGCCTTGTCAATTACATAGCCAGCATTTTGGATAAAACCTCTACATGCTTCAGCTGAGAACTTATGTTCTGGGAACTCGTCCAAGTCAACCGACCGACATGTCATAACACCCTTAGTCTCAGATACCTTCTCGTTAACAGCAGCGTAGATGAAGTCTCGGCCAGCTACTCCCATCTCTCCTTTATACGACGTCCAAGTCAGAGTGACTTCTCGCTGTCCGTCGTTCAAGTAGCTCTTCAGCACCTTGCCCTCAATCAACTGATCATCCCAGTTAACCTTGTTGGTCATATCACCAAGGAATTCCATCACTTGGGAAATGGTATAATCTTTACCCCAATTCATCTTGCCACATACGACCTGCATCTCACTGCCATTCTGTGACCTCACGGAGAGCTCAACTGGACCAGACTTCCCTTTAGACTTGAAAGAACTATCTTTTTGGAAGGCCAATAAAGCCGCTTGAGCATCGAGGCCAACCTTCATCATACGCTGACCCTCTTCACTCAGAGATGTATTCTCGGCCTCAGCTGCCGCCGGTTGAGATTCCTCCACAGCTCGCTTCGGTACCTGACAAATAGCCATGAGAGCGACTACGATCATCTCGTCTGGTATCACTTACTTCATCGTCGGATTTTATAGGTTCTGCTGTAGTCTTTGCTGTCGTGGGTGCAACCACTATCTTGGAAGACATAATAGCTGTATGTAGTTTAACGAGCTTTAATGGAAGAGTAGACAACTCGCGCTCCGCCACGAATGATGGGGCGCTTCCTCCAAGATCAATTTGCTCGAAGAGCGATATAAAAATAACCCCATCAAGTGCCTCGACTATGTAACCAGAGTTCACGATAGTACCACGAGTGAGGGACAAATCGTACTTACCCTCGGGGTAGTCAACCAAATCAAGCGAGCGATAGGAGACAACAGCTCGCGAAGGAGATAGCTTCTCAGCCATCATAGCAAAAACAAAATCTCGGTCAACCAAAACGGAGCTGAGGTTTCGCGTGGCCGCCCAACAGATAGAAACAGGCGGGTCAGCATCATCAAACTTTTCTATGACCTTCCACCGCTTGAACGAGGTGTCCCAAGTAGATCGAGCGTCGAAGTCCATCAAGAAGGCAACGACTTGATCTACACCGACACCCAAACCGGCAGGCAAAGTGACTTTACCACCGACAACACGAGCTGAACCCTGGCCTGAGGGTCGGCTCAATAAGGTGACTTCATCAACCACACCAGAGCTCTGGAAGCAATGATCGCCCTCGAACGCTAAGAGAGCCTTTTGCGAGTCCTTAGCCACATCCCGGGCGAAGTTAGCACGAGCCTCAGTATAAACCCTGGACACTTGAGATGCCAAAGTAGGCACAGTAGTAGCTGGACTTGGTGGATGCCCGGTAACAGGGTCGACTCCACTAACAGTTATCTGAAAGACGACAATCGACGTGTGAATTGCGTAGAGCCCCTATACAGAGAGAATTCCCAAACATCTGCTCCCGATCAACGAGCGCAGTACTAGACATAGACCACATGCAACGCCAGAGTGTTCTCAGACTGTGTAACCCAACACAATGGGAATAGTCTCTTACGGAAATTACCTCGTTCGAGGGTTTGCCCGCAGCATCATCCATCCTAGTTGCCGCTGACTTCACTGAGTGCTTGCTGCCATGGTCAGAATGGTGCAATGGTTGCGCCACGATATCTTCTTGTTTTGATGAAAAGCACCCCATAACTGAACAACTGCACTAGAAGACGAATTTCACATGATCTGCCCATAACGCTAGTTCAAGGGGGCTAGAAAAACCCGAGAAAAGCGCAAGATTCGCGTGAGGTCCAACGATAAGACGATCTCAACCAACTCATCCTCCTCCTCCTGCGTTGCGTTCTCCACCCCTGGCAGATGCTCCAATTCCGCATGATAGCAACTCGCTATTGACGTGGTGTGATTCTCAGATTGACATCAAAGCGATAGTGCTAAGGATTGGAGAATGATAAGTTAATCAGATCAACGCTTCGCGAGGAGCATAAGGTCACGGAGGACTGAATAATGCTAAGGTTAACAATGTCGCCGAACCCCTCTTCGGTGGCCTTCCTTGACTTTCTCATATTCAGGCTCAGACCAGAACACATCGGAGAGGAGAGTTATACTTTTCTATGTAGTATCCAGTTGTACATCGTCATCATCGAGCGATGCACGTTCTCAGCTTTGGAAAGAGAGGTGAGAGTTCACAAGTTAGCAAGTTGACACGGGCATGTCCAGACGCTGTCACTAAATTTGGTCTCCTAGATCACTATTTGTGAGTCACTAAATTGCGGAGCGAGTGAAGCAAGCGGACTCCGCTCGTAACATGAGCTCCACTCAGCGGAGCTTATGTTACCGCGCACGAACACTCGTGTCCGTCCGTCCGTCCGTGCGTGAGGAAAAATTCCGACCCGACCAGGGCGATTCAGAAGGCAAGCAGGGTATCATTCTGTCCCCCGTTGACTGCTCACCGGCGCTAAAACATAGCGAAGGTGTCGCTGTTGCTTCGCCCGCTTTTTTGACGAAACGTTTCTTCGCACAACAGGTGAATTACTAGCTCAGTACGTTAGTGACCACGACTCCCAACCAAATGATCCAAGGTCAGATCCCACGATGATCACCTTCCTCACATGTCTCTATAAGGAGACAGTGGTCGGCCACGTCGACGACGCCAGACCACCTCCGACTACTTTCTGTTTTTAAGTCACCCAATTTCCAAAATAATTTCAATAAGAGCCCGCTGAATTTTTGATAAGAGGCTCAGCGAGCTCCGCCCCTTCGCACCGGAGACCTAGTTTAGTGACAACAAATAGTGATCTAGGACACCAAGTTTAGCGACACCGTCTCTGTGCGCCACGTGTCAACTTCTATCCGTATTATGCCATGACTATTGCTCAAGAGGGGACGAGTAAGGGTGAAGTTTCACACAGTAGGTGAAGTCATGATCATTCCATGTTCGAGCATGCTTAAGGAATTATCTAAGAGATCAAACGGCCAAGGAATTGGTGGATACGTATCCACTTGTTTACGTATACAGAAGACATGCGCCATCATATCAAGAGTTAAAGATTGTTGACCGTGGGTTCCCGAGGTGGTATAAAGCCGTACGATCAAGCGGTGCAGTTAGTAGCGTGTCATACTTTTATTGTAATGACTTGAGTATCCTTGTTGCTTATTCCCTAACACGCGTTGCGTGTCCAGGACGTTTCCACAAGCTCGCATAGGCGTCACATTGGAGGGTATGCGTTCACCTCAATTCATCGTATGATTAGCCGGACTGTAGAAGGCGGCCCCCTTAGTTGGGTACTCTTTCGCTTGCGAGAGGTTATCTGAAAAAAGCATTCTCCAGAAGATTATTGACAGTAGTTTACATTTAGTAATGATGACGAGAAAACCAAACAATCGCCCCGCCATTGTGGCGGGGCTACCCCCCATGGAGAGTCTGTGGGTTGACTCTTCTATCTCTGACACAACTACTTTTGATGCACACTCGCCGCAGCTTCATGAGGCTCCTATCGTGGACTTACCCGACTGGGCATCCTTTCCACCACTCCCCTCGCCTTATGCTGCTACTCCTAGACGTCACGGTGGATCTCGTTGTATTCGCCAACAGCTGCGTAACACTCGTGCCTGTAAGCACTTCCTGAATGGGTGTTGTTACTACGGCGCAAACTGTACCTTCGCTCATCATGACAATGAGCTCTTCAAGAAGCCCAACTTGGCCAAAACTAAGCTCTGTCCTAAACTATTCTGCGAAGACGCCGCCTGTACCTACGCACATTCTTCAGAGGAGCTAAGACAGCCAGGCGAGTTCTCTGATATGGACGCCGCAAGGGTAGATGTCGAACACGAGAAGGTCCTCGGAGAGCAACGCACTTTGTTGACAGTTATTGGCCTCATGTCGGAGCTCTGTGATGATGGTAAAGATTCTGGTCTCCTCCCTAGCCCCGGTAGTCAGGTTAGCCTCCCGTTGCTACCAACCCCACCAATGAGGTGCACAGGCTCTGTTGGTTCTATAACTGGGCGAAGGAGTTCTCGACCATCGAAGAAAGGACCACGTACTCGTAGGGGCGTTAAGAAATCTGCTCTCTACGGCTTGGCGACTCAAAATGAGGAACTCCGAAGACAGGTGGAAATGAGCAATACTGTTTTTGCTCATGTAGTACAGATGATCTCGGCCCAAGCCCCTCCGGTTAACCCAGTCGTGGAATCCACATCACCTATGGGTGTTGTATTCTCTCAGCAACAGAGGGATGAGTCAACATCGGATACCGCTGATACGACTTCAGGAGTTGGTGATAACAGTGAGATCGACGAGGTTGATGCAGATGCTCTAGCTCAACTATTGGCTACCGTAATTGGACAGTGCTAGCTATCAGTGGGATTCTAATATTGAAGCTGCTGCACATGTTGTCAACTACGTTACGATGAGTCGGTCTGTGGGCTCTGTCGAACTCCTTGAGACTGCTGAGCCGTCTTTCGTTGAGGAGATATGATCACGAGTTTGAGGTGGGAGTTTGTAGACTTCATCGTTTCAACCACCTTCTCGTTGGTCGCATATTTGATGAACATTTCATTCTTAATCCCCGCCAACTTTGTTGTGGCGGGATAACAGCGGTATTAAAATTCTATTAATGAATAAGTCGTCCAGTTCTATAACTATTGGGCAGTCGTATTGTCAGTCACAGCATGACGGACTGAGCCCGTAGTCATTGGTTAATATTACGATTCATTCATTTCCGGTATATGTCCGTATCGGAGCGAGTACTGGGTAAAGACGAATGCTGATAATTTCACTTTTTCGCTGAATGGCAAACTCCTCTATACTTGTTTATTGAAGTACTGTTCTAAGATTGATGGCACGGCCGTTGTATCTACGGCGCTTGTCTTAGGTAGGTACCCAAAGGCTGTTGGAGAATGCCGTTTCTTCAGCGTGTTGATTAATGCCACGAATACTTTGACTAGCAGAAGTTAATGCGCGAATACGCAAGTCATCCTGCAGAAGAAGTCGCATAGTGGCACTTCTCCGTACGTGTTTCATCTTTTCTACTCTTTTACTTGTTTTTTCGTCGCGTCCTGGTCTCGGTTCGACGATATATACACCGTCCTATTATCAAAGATAGAATAGTTTCACGTCTCGATGTGATAATGAAAAGTGTTGCCGTTGTCAGTCTCGAGGGCAGTAGTGCTATATGACTGGAAGAGGACCTGCAGAGCATAGCAGGTGACTCAGCGTTACCCGAGAGAGATATTCTGATTGCCCGGGTTATTCACTATGACTTTTTCCAATGCTCACACGTGGTGGTGGAAAAGATCATAGATGGGCAGCGTAACGTTTTTTACGGTTTACGTTACGGCGTGCGTAACGTAAGCAGTTTACGGTTACGGAATAGCCTTACGACTTTACGGTTGGTGCTGAACTGCTATTTTGGAATTGTGGCGCAAACATTCGCTGTAATGCACTCCTCCATAGCTCAAATAGTTATTAAACTCATTTCTCGTGGCTCGGATTCAACCGAACCGCTGAGAGTAACATTTAGATTCGCATTTGCCATTCGTCTTCTTTGCAAATTCCGTCCGTCTTACTCCCAGGCTGGCCCGGAACTGCCAACCCGGCCGCGTCTACCGATGAGCATTCACATGAAATAGATTCAGGCGACTTGAATGATCAATCCTCGTTCCATCCTCTGCATCTCCGTAAGACCCGCTACGGCGCCGTATGTAATGCTAGGGTACGGAGCTTGAGTCGTAACCGTAAAAGTGAGCAGCCGTAACGGTCCGTAACGTAATTGTGCCCATCTATAGAAAAGATGGTAGAGACGATAAGAGAAATGATGGAAAGGAAACAGATGTGTTTATATCTAAGGGCTGATGATACCACACGATGTAATCTTGGCATAATCCACGACTATGCCACATGAATACTGAACGGTGGAAGATTCTGCTCGTAAGACGGCCTTAACGAAGGCGGTAGTGGGTAGATCAGCTTAGTCAGTTTGTCGTTTCGCGCCTTAGGAGCGTTGGGAGAACAGTTCCCCCAACGCTCTTAAGGCCTACTACACCTTTTAAACATCTAGTTCGTTTTTCGGAACCATCAATTTCGTCGGGACGCGCGAAGTTGAAGGTACGTATCCGAAACGGGAAGATCATATTCATAATTAGAACTTTCAACTTCGTCATAGAACATTCAAGTTCGTCCGAAGTCGATAGGAAGTTCAAGTTCGTGTTAATAGAACTTTTAATTTCGCCTTTCGAACCTTCGAGTTCGTCATAGAAGTTCCAATTCCGTCGAGTACACCCTCAGACCTTCAACTTCGTCCCTTTAGGAAAATCGACTTCGTTGTGCGGAACTTCAATTTCGTGTCACCGGGGCAATTATGGCAGTTCAACCGTTGAACCGCGTCTCAATTACAAAATTACCATGATGATCACAGGATTTGAACCCTGGACAGTCGGTTACTAACTCTAACTCCTAACGACTAGGCCAACCAGTCGATTATAACACATATGACGTAAGGGGATCTCGGCTTGAATTTTGTTGGCGCGCGCTCGTGGCGCGCGCTAGTTCCTTCACTGTCATCAGGGTTCGCGGGGAATTTTTTCCGGTTCACCATTTCCAGGATTCACTGTTTTCATGGACAACCTCCCGACGAAATTGATGGTTCCAAAAACGAACTAGATGTTTAAAAGATGTAGTTGATTCCGCAAGTACCCTTAAAAACGGCTCTCATTTCTGTCAGGAACGAAAATATATTTCACGACTACTGCATAGCGCGAGTATCGCGTTTTACACAGAGTATTACGCCACTTCACGTTAAACGGGTGGTGAAACTCCGATATAAAGTAGTTCGAATTCCGACAAATTCATTTCTGTGTTGTGAAATTCATAACTAAGGGTTGTTCAATTCAGTGAACTATTGCGGTTTTTTCCGAAGTCTCACAATGATGAGAAAATACGCACATGTTTTGGTGACAATCTGGAAAATTTCATGTGGGTTCCTCTACACCCCTACTCTACATCGTGTGTTAACTTCTTGCTTAGGAGAACCATTGTGTATTGACCAGTTTCGTATGCCTGTTGGAATGATCAGTTATTAGTTTCCCCCCAGTCACGATGCTCATTGTGACTTTATTTATCGTCTATTTCATCTCATCCTTGGTGATAGCATCAGCACAGTGGCAGCAATGCGTGGATCCTGTCGTGGGTTTTGACAAGGCCAAGAATGTTGAATATTTTCCCACCAGCATACCGTATTTTTCCGACTACTCCAAAACCATCACAAATTTCCAGTCTCACAAGTGAGTTGGTTTTTTTTCTGTTATTTTTCCCAACTAATATTTTTTTCAAGGTACTACGTTACTTTAGAAGTCCTATCAAAGCCCTCAGTGATGGTAAAAGTGTTGCTCGTGCGCTGTGGCACTGAAGACCCGACGGTCAGCAACCCGGACAGTTTTGCCGACTACATCAAGGTGGAAACGCCAGTTAAAGATATGGGACTCACTGAGACTCTCATGGTGAATCTAAAATTTTTAATACCATAATTGCTACGATTCTTCACAGGTTGGACTACTGGATAAAGGCCTCGGTAAACTGGCTACTGTTAGTGCTTACCTCAACAAGGCCGATCTGCTTCTACCCAAAGAGCCTCTGCTGCAAGCTCGTCTACCTCAGGTGAGGGGAAAAATTTTCATTACTCATATCGTGTATATATAATAGGGTCATATCTAGTTCGTTAACTCTATCTATATATACTGTTAATATGTTTATACATTATAATCGCTATTTTATGAATATCATCACTATAGATACAATCAGTTATCACTATATTTAGTATATGCATATCTGGTATTTTCAAATGATATCAAGTTATGGCTATAGGAGTAGGATTACAGCGTCTACCTTCTTTGTAGTTGTGTGAAAGGTTCTTGTTAGTTTTTGTAATTTCCAATAAAAATTTACAGCATTATATATTAATATTTGGGAAAAATGTATTTTTTAATAAGAATTTACACAATTTCGTATTATCATTTTGGAAAAAAATGTAATTTTTAATAAGAATTTACAAAATTTTGTATTGTTATTTCGGAAAAGTTCAACTTTTAATAAGAATTTACACAATTTTGTATTG